AAAAAAAAAAAAAAAAAAGATTACAACTTCGAGAAGCTTGGTAAATAAATCAGAAGAAATTAAGAGGGGGAAAATAATTTAATACCAAAAACAGTTCAAGGAATACTATCACCTAAAAAGAAATAGAAAAATTTTAAAATACATTGCTAATCTGCAGAAAGAGAGATTTTAAGAGAGCGGTAAAATTAGCGATCCATACACATATTGTGAACTTGCGAATGAAGACCTGTGCACACAGGTGAGGCTGACAGGCATAGGGCACTTGTCTAGCTCGCCATCCCCAGCACGCCCCTCTGCGTCCCCCCGCCACAACCCTCCTCCGGACTCAGTTGATGTGGAAGGCTGGGGGTCACAGGGCTTAATGGAGAAGGAACTATACAAGGTCAGAGGGAAGGAAGGAAACAGGAGGCTGCACTGCCTGATGGCAGAAGGACCTGCTAAGCAGCTCTGTATCCAGCAGGAGTAGCCGACACAGGATGCCAGTCACACTGACATGAGCACGGACAAAACAACTCCGTACCTCCCTGGGGACTGCCTGTTATCAGATTAAGATCCCCGTTTCTCACGGGCCAGGCTGCTGGAAACATCAAACGCGGTCTCAGAAAGACACTCCTGGAACTGCCTACGTCCTGGGCAGGACAGCAGAAATAAAAATTGGGACCCACTTCCTGTTCCTGGGGGCTCATAACCAGCAGGGGAAACTGAAGCATCGAAGCACCTGCTATGGAATGCGATGTGTGGTGACAAGGGAAGGGCTGACGGGCCCCAAAGACTGCAAACAGAGAGGGTACATTCAAAGGGGTCTTTCAGGAGACTCCCGGAGTCACCAAGAGGAACAGATGATCAGGGCTTCCCCCAGGGAAGGGAAGGACAGAGACCTCAAAGGGTAGAGTGTGCTCTGGGAAGATGGCATTCAGGGCTGGGCTAGAGATGAAGGCCACGGACTGAGGAGAGAATGGCCACAGTCCTTCCTGGATGACAGGCTGCAACCAAATCACAGTCCGCGTGTGTGCCTAGGAGCCTGGGCTTTACGTGACAGGCAGGAAATGGAGGAACAGACAGAGGCCTGTATGCAAGAAATGACACTCTTGGATTTGAAGGTAAGTATCTCTCTGGTGGCGGGCAAAGTGGCTCACACCTGTAATCCCAGTACCTTAGGAGGCCACAGCAGGCAGATAACCAGAGATTGGGAGTTCAAGACAAGGCTGACCAACATGGAAAAACGCCATCTCTACTAAAAATACAAAACTAGCCAGGCATGGTGGCGCATGCCTATAATCCCAGCTACTCAGGAGGCTGAAGCAGGAGAATCGCTTGAACCTGGGAGGTGGAGGTTGCAGTGAGCTGAGATAGCACCATTGCACTCCAACCTGGGCAACAAGAGCAAAACTCCATCTCAAAAAAAAAAAAAAAAAAATCTCTCTGGCAACTTACTAGTATGAAGTATTCGCTGCCTGAAATTCCACCTCCAGCAGGTTGGGAGTGTTCTGTTTGCATTTCATGTTTCATTTTGCAATGACAATTTCTGGTTCCAACAAGTTCTTACCGGGGCGTTGTCTTGCTCCAGGCTTGCAGTGTGTTCAGAGTGACCCTCCGGGATGGATGAGCTTTTGTGTTTTGACTACTAGGCTGCAAGCTCTTCTCCTCCGAAGGCCCGCGCAAGAAGCTTTTGACAGCAGGGGTGACGGAGGGAGAGTCCCTGATGGCTGCTGGGGCTAGGGCCTGTCTGGCCTGTGGGGGGGTCGTGCTGGGGCTGCTGGAGTCTTGGGTTCTGCTGGCAGGGGTTCCCTCTACCAGTCTGGGTCCTGGCGAAGACCCTCGAGGTGTCTGACTCTTGGTTTTCTTTGCTGTATCAGGAGTTCTCATGCTCAAAACTGGCTTCTCTTTCAAAGGAATTCCAAGTTCATCTTTCTCAAATGTGACAAACGAGCAGTAACCGTCCGTGGAAGAAATGGCCAGGAAGGCGCCATCACTGGACCTTTGTCCCCAAAACAGGGAAAAGTTAGAGACCTTACCAGCATGCTCACATCTAGTTAGAAGAGGGAAGTTCAAGCTAAATCACAAGTTTTTGTTGAAGGCAAAAACTAGGGAAAAGATACGACTAGAAAAGAGTATGACAGCTCCTCACTAGAGCAGTTTCATTGCGATTTCCTGAGTCGCTACAACGGATCTGTGCTACTAGCAATTTTTACTTTAGTAGGCTGGGCACAGTGGCTCACACCTACAATCCCAGCACTTCGGGAGGCCAAGGCAGGCGGATCATTTGTGGTCAGGAGTTCAAGACCAGCCTGGCCAACATGGTGAAACCCTGTCTGTACTAC